AGGAACTAGATCGAACAGAAGAGGGTGAAAAGTGAAGAAATTCACCACAAGGTCGTGCTCCACCTCTTTTGGAGCGTTATCGAGTAAGCCACTAGAGACATGTCAATCATTATAGATATGAATTCACTCAAGTGTAGGGAGATCAACGGCAGAGACTCACGGTGAAACCCCAACAAATGTCGTTAAAACTCGAAAAAGTGTGTACGCTCCACAACACCCGAGAGGCCACACATTTCGATAATGAAGCGATTCTGAATATCGAAGCCCAGCTGAAAAGGCCTACCACATTCATCGTGCAGCGGTAGTCATTCTCTTTCGAAAGACATCTGCCCTTTCTGCTCAGCCGCCTTCTTGACGACAAAAAATACGATTCCCATTAGCACCTCAAAATCGACCTCACTGCCTTTTTCAGCTCATAACTGCCAGCCCTTTGAGAGTTAAGTTGCCAATCTTTGGTTGGATGTTGGTAACAAGTCACTGATAGTGGTGGTACATATAATGATGATAGGTTGCACACGTGCTTGGAATAGTGCAGGCTCAAAAATAAGTTCAAAATACGCACGAACTTCTGAGACAACTAAATTACTATAGTTTTAATGCTCATTGTGCTTCTTGCAATATTTAGTGCCTGACCTCCAACTGTCCTATACTCGGAAATGTGATGTTATTGCGCTATAACTTCTTGGTGCTTGTAGCTCAGAGAGGACGATTCCTTCTTATGGTATCACACGTTTATCAAAAAACTATAGGTGGACCAGTCATTGGCATTAGCAAGATATGCAGAGCAAGATGCATGCATACCATTCATTGGACACCAAGACTCCTACGAATTCGGAACCTAACACTAAACAGTTTCGTCTGTCAAAAAGATAGGCGCTATCGCAATATACAGGGCACTGTCGTGGCAGTGCACTTGACCACTTGAAACATCACGTTTTTCTTCACAAGGGACTAATTTCCAGGCGAGAGAGGAGAGACTCCAGGGAGCGTGAGAAATCTTCATTCTTCTACTTTTCCTTCCTCTTCCCAGGATTAGTGTTGGAGAATGCCCCCCTATCCTGCGATAGCGCCAAAAGATACTCAAGAGAGTGCAAGCATTCAATGCTCCAAACATTATGTAATGAACAGCGGAATTTGTGGCATCGAATCACCTCACAACGAGAAAACGACAGACACATGTGGAAAAACGAAGCAGAAACCGCGTTATGACACTGAATTCAACCGACCCTCTACGAAAACAAATGAATCATCTCACCATCATCACGTTATCAAAGAGCGCGTGAACTGATTCATCAGACTTGCCATGGGTGTGAGACCAGCCGGTGCGTAGCACTGATCAAAAAAGCGTACTGATCCTTTTCCGTGCTAAACAGTGAAAAATTCCAATGGGGAACGTGGGTTGCCGATCACACGTTAGGGCAATCCTACCCTTCTAAGGAAACATCCGCTTTTTCGTTGCTCATCTGAGTTTTCTAGTGTCGGGTTGTCCCATAATTAGTGGATCACATTACATTTATTGCTGCAAAAACTCTAGGAAAATGCTTAGTGGCGAAAAACATCCTTGGTGAAGTAACACCGACACTGCCTACCCAAACGACTAGATGGCTCATTTACACGCTGCCTTCCGCAGTCTTACCTCTATTTTAGAACCTATTTCAGCGCCCTATTTTTGATGAGCACCAATTTTTCTTCCAAGAAACAGAATGAGCAGAGGTTCTATCTGGAGGAGGAGAGCACACTTTCTTGAACCCGATGCACCGCTGTTACTCCAATTAGGCAAAAGCCGTACATGGAGACTTCATGGGAAGCTGTACATGGCGGCTTTATTCGGGTTGGTTTTATTTAGCATTATTGAAGACAGCACAACCAATGTTCCTTCGATTGACCTGCACCGCCCCCTCCCTTAACATTTGTCAATCTATATCTTCCAATGACACTGTTGAAGGCGACTGGTCAGACTAGTGTTATCTGTCAGAGCGCTTACGATGTGACCCGACATCACGATTTTAAAGATTTGAAAATATGAAGTGTGCATCTCAGGTGCCCTCAGCCCGAATCAGCTCTAAATACGATCTTACATCGCCATGTTCCTGGTTTCTTCCAATGTTCCTTCGATTGACCTACAGCATATTTATGGATTTTATGGAGCTGGTGCAACGTTCTAACAAACAAGTGGCAGAAGCCTAGCTCAATGATTTGGGTGTACTGACTACAAAAGCCCAACTTTCTTGTAAGTTCATGCCTGTGAGTTGTTAATGGAATACGAGAGGAGCTTTGTGCTGGGAACTGACGTCCAACAATACCGCGGTCAGTGATGAAGACAAACATCAACAGTTCGATCGCGATACCTTCAAACTGAAAACAAAACAAAACGATGTGTCTTTCTTAAGGCCTCTCGACGTCACCTTGCAGAGAAAATCCATAAGGACACTCCCTGGCTGACAGCTTCCAGTTTTCTCGGAAAGAAATTATGCGGAAAGTTCATCATGAAAGTCAGCAACTCCTTTGGTTGGCACTATTTCGTTGATAACAGCCATGTATAGTTGCATGAGCAAGATCTTCGGGGAAATAAAAAAATTTAAAACTGAAAAATTATCAATGTGATTCACTGATTATGGGACAGTTAACATGGGATTGTCCTCGCAATTGTCTGGAGAAACACTGGGGACCATTATAAATTCTCCACGCCACCCCTTGTCCGATCCTAGCTAATGACCCTAACCAGGAAAGGCATTCAACTTCCCATGGAACTTTGAATTGAGACCCAGATATATCGATAGAGCTTCAAACGCTGATTACAAATATGGAAACTAAAACTGCAAAATGAACCTGCCAAGGAAGTTGTGAGCAGTCAAAGTTGGCTGGAAGTAAAGCATTACACTAGCCTCCGGGCTTTCAAAGTCGCCGTGGAGTAGTGGTAGTGCTCTCGGAAATTTGCACTCCAACGGGAGGAGAACTTATGACCTCCCGGGTGAAGAGCGAGGGCACTACCACTACTCCGCGGCGACTCTGAAAGCCTGGGATCCAGCACGGTTCATATGCAACGCTTTACTTTAGCCAACTTTGACTGCTCACAACTTCCTTGGCAGGTTCATTTTGCAGTTTTAGTTTCCATATTTGTAATCAGCGTTTGAAGCTCTATCGATATATCTGGGTCTCAATTCAAAGTTCCATGGGAAGTTGAATGCCTTCCCTGGTGAGTGGACATGAGTAACTGTTACCGAAGCAATGAAATAGCCTCCGAAAATTCCGAAAATGGAACTGTGAAGACGCATAAAAGAATTTAGATTTCATCCTATATTACCCTTGCCATTATTTTTTCGAGCCCAGAACAGTTCACATTCTTTTTTACATTGGTTATATAACTTTATCCAAAAAGAGAAAAACGGATTGATTTCGAGGGCAAAAGCTCACACGCAAAAGCATAGCACAACGCTCATTCCTCGGACCACAATCACAAATCACATTTCAAAGAAGAATTGGTGGATAAAACGGGGCTATAAATATTATATCAGGAGCGACTATATTATATGGAAGTTGATTACAAGGAAGGGTCACATGTCCAACTACGGTAAAAGCTGTGAAAATACGGTGCTGTGCAGCTCTATACAAAAGCTAACAGACGGATTTCAACCACATCTACCAGCCAGTTGGATGCAAAAAATGAACAGACGCAGACAAGTATACCACCTCTCAAACAAAACACCCACTGTCTGCGAGAGTGCCATAGGGCACTTTAGCACAAGATTAAAAGAATAAATTAGAACGCGAATGTAAGATAATAGAAATGGAGAACGACGACCACGGTGTAAAGTTAACCTAGCATGGAGAATAGATATAAACGGAGAAAATTGAATGATGAGCATTTACGGTCTGGTCCAGCAGTCTCGTTCAGCAACATCCACCGCTCTTCTTGTCCTGCACAGGCTGGGAACCTGTAATGCGCACAGCGGGAGCGCCGCCTGCTCCTTGCACAGGACCCATGCGTGACTTAATCTCCGATGCCATTGTCAAGAACGCCTAAAATGATTAGGTAGGAAACAAATATTCAACAATAAAAGGACTCCTAAGCAGTACCTACAAAAATGGTAAAAAAAAACTGGCAAATAGAATCAAAGGTGCGAGATTTCATTAAGAAAGATATCAGCCAAGTTGTAATGTTTTATATGGACAAAAAACTTGATTGAGTGAAATACAAAATCTCCAAGTGAAACACTAACCTGTTCAACGTTTGTCGAAGACTTGGCCGATGTCTCCAAAAACGGTATTCCGAGTTGGTCAGCATACTCCTGTAAAGCAAAATTCGTGACATGATCATTCAGAAACCACGACATTGAAATAGCAAGACCTAGTCAGTATAGTTTAGTGTCCTTTCAACCATGCAACCACTGATAAAAGAAATTGAGCTATGTCTTTAAATCGATTCGTTCTAGGTAAACACGTGTATATCTATGTTGTCCATCATACGACAATCCACGTGTCCCAATACGTCACCTAGATGACTACATTGAATGAGCCATCCGCAACCTATCGCAATCTGTCAAAAGACCTTTAAACCTTGCTGGAGTAAAAAAATGAACTTTGCATCAGAAACCGTTAGTAAATTTTCAATAGCAGATGCGGTTAAAGTGAATTAATAGCCAAAAACCAATAAGTCAAACCAAAAATCGAAAATAAGAATCGGGAAATCTAGGCACCACGAAATGCGCAAAAACAGGGTGACGAGCTTTAGTTAACCCCCATCCTCGAAAAATTCCCCAAGATCTGCGGCTCAGTTGCTTGATCACGCTTTAATTTTTCTCGAGAATTCACAGTGAGAAAAAGAACAAATTCAAGAAGCTCTCAAAGCTTCGTAACCGTTACGAGCAGATAACTTCAAAATACCTGCCAACATGGGTACCAAATTCAAGATGCATCCTTATCAAAAAATAATCGATTCAGTTTATCGGCGAGAAAAGATCGATGACATCATACTTTCGACTTGATGGAAATTTCAGAAATCATACCTTAGCAGCCTGGGTTTCAACAGCTCTCTTAGCGGTTAGGTCGCACTTATTTCCAACCAATAGCTTGTTAACGTTCTCGCAAGCGTATCGATCGATTTCCTGTAGCCACTGCTTCACGTTATTGAACGACTCCTGAAAGTTTACTGTCATATAAATGAAAGAAGAACATATCAAAAGAACAAATGTCATACCAATATCTGACGTTTAAACTAAAAACAAAACAACAGGAAGTGAAACATCGGGTCAAATATATAACCAATTCCAAAATCACTTTCCAATACAATGCATATGGAAAATTCCCAACAAATTCCAATCTCTTTCAGACTCGTGCTCGAATCACGTCGACCCTTTTCGACGCCTATTTCTCAAAGTTACGGTGTACTTTGGACTTCCTACTAGCGACCTATGCCGCAGCGAACATTGCACGCCCAACCAAGTCGATTCCGTAATAGTAGTGCTAATTTCATGTGAATAGCGACCTAGCCGTACCTAATCATGTTGCGCTTATAAGAGTTAAAGCATGTTAGCTCTTTAAGAATCTATTTTAGGTTGAGCACTGATTATCCGCCGTTTTCATTTCACTCATAAGTTTATTAACAAAACCAAACAAAAACAACAATAAATGCGTAATCAACAAACGCTCTCGAACACCTGCAACCGTGCCTTCGCCAGGCTTCATGATTCTACGAGCAGATGCAGAAGCATTCGGTTCGAGCTCAACTTGCATCATGCAGCAGGAGCAATCTTTTTTCGCTAATGTGGAAGTTCCATAGGCTGATGTCAGAGTCCGCGATCCTTTGCGCGATTTTCGCGATTTGCGCGATTTTCGCGAAACCTGCGATGGATCACAGGAGTTGGAAGTGCCCGATGAATACTGCGAGGTGTTGTTTAATCCTGCTGCGAATTCTGCTTGGCAGTAAAGATTGGAAGACGAATGTTTGTGGTTCTACTTGTTTCATGTTCAATGTCTATTAGTTCATTGAAATGCTCTTGAATCGTTCCTATTTTTTTCAGGAATCAAACCAAACCAATCACAAAAATTGCAAGTGCCCCATTTGAACAATTGAAACACTGGATATGAAACAAGTGGAATCATGAGCAGTCTCCATTAAACCATAACCATCAAGCAGAAGTGCGGCGGGATTGGAGAACACCTTGCAGTATTGATGGGGCACTTGTGATTTCCGTGACCCGTCGCGTGAATCGCGAAAATCGCGCAAATCGCGAAAATCGCGCAAATCGCGAAAATCGCGAAAATCGCGAAAATCGCGAAGGATCGCGGACTCTGACATCAGCCATAGTGAAGTAAGCATACAAGCGTTTATCAAAATGTACAAGAGATTGAGCGCTTTCAGACTACATCATAACCTTCGAAAATAATCAGCAAAAATCAAAGAACCATGAGCCTGAAGAAAAAAACGAGGGATAATTATTGTTGCTCAACCTAATATTATGATGGAATGGCGTCAGAAATTTCAGCACCCACATCAGCGCTGATAGCGAGGGAAAAAATTGAACAAGTCGATACTGTACTAAATTGCTTATCTCCCCACTCTTAGTTATTAGAAGTCTTCAGGAAAACACATTTCAAAAGATTCGAGGCTACACTTACCTCTCCGAATTTACGAATTTACAAGGAATAGTACATCCTCAAGCCTGACTTTTTTAGTCTGGCAATTCGAATAGTCACACTAGGTTGCGTTGCAACTGAGCCCGTTTCAAAAGATTCTAATTTCTTTGATGCCTCCATCCAGTATTACAATTACAGCACGACACCACAGTGCGCAAACCCCACTTCCACGATCATATGAATAACACCAATATGAGCAACGCAGGTTTCAACCTATCTCACCTCCTTGGCCACTTGCTGAACAATTGTGAGGAACATGGAAGGAAACGTTGCAAGACTTGAAATAGAAATCAGAATAGAATTATTCAAAACACCCACTTGATCAGTGATGTCGTAAACAACAATTATTCCGTGAGCACCTCGATAATAGCTTGATGTGATAGTGCGGAAACGTTCTTGACCTGCCGTATCCCACTGAAAGAAAAATCTGCTCCTTCTAGAAGCTTGAGTAGGCAAGTGAAGTGCTCAGAACAAAATGATTATGCAACTGAAAAGCTCACAATTTGCAGCTTGATAGTCTTACCATCCAACTCGATGGTGCGGATTTTCTGGTAATGTAATATTAATGGTGGAATTCGATATTACCGTAGTGCTATAACACTGTTCATACAAATACACAAAAGAGTTTGAAATGCACTCACGAAATCTACTCCAATGGTGGAAATGTATGACTCGGTGTAAGTATCGTCGGCGAATCGAAGCAGAAGACAAGATTTTCCAACTCCAGAGTCACCAATGAGAAGAAGTTTGAAGAGGTAGTCACTTAAAATGAAGACTGATAGGGAACACTGAGCCTCAACTCTCAAGCCAAGATGCCTACCACATAAGCGGTCCTAAATCGCTAAAGAACTGTGCTGAATTCAAATAAGATTTCCAGATATTACAAATGAATAGGCCCAGCATTGAAAGAGGTTGAAACTCGGGTATCATTTTTGAGAGCAGAAGCGATTTACATATCAAAGCTTGATTTTAACGAAACTTTTAAATTCAATAACTCTATTCACAATGCAGAGAAAATCAACGCGTTCACCCAGCGTAAGGTGACACCTGTGACCTTTTTCTGCCTTCACCTTACCACTATATTTGAGAATGACGCTGCGCTAAGAAGCCTAATTTGTAACTTCCGCTGTTCAGTTTGAGGCTAACCTTTGAAAGGGAAACTTCAGGATAGGTGGCCAATTTTCATTTATCCGAGATCCACAACTTCCTCTGCTTTCTTCTATTCAACTGGCCCCAAGATGCTTTTTCGGTTCAAACCCCGTACAATATTCAAAAACCTGAATAAATGGAGAGGGGACCCACTATTACTTCGAAACTTCAACGGGCTTCCTGCGCAAAATTGGGGTTAGTGTCGCTCACACAGTACTTGCTCACACTCCTCAAGGAAGAAGCGTCGATATCTCCATAGATCATAACTAACAATCAACCATCTGCCTCTGAGAATAATGCTCGTTTGTTGTAAAACAATTAACCGCATCAAACATCAAATTAGCTACTAAGATTCACAATCGATAAGTTCTCGACTTCGCTTCACGATAAACGAACATAAAAATGCTTCTGCAGCACATCACATTCACCCTGTACAGTTGGCTCATAACAAGGATTTTTTTGGTCCAAAACTTAATTACTGATCGCTTGTAAAAGGTGGGTAAACGTAATTGTGATTGTAGTCCGATTTTAGATTCTAATTCCAAGTTTGCTCATGACAAAGATTTCGGTTGATCACCTAGTTGTCCATTGCTATGTAAGCAGCGAAAAGAAATGATGGCGAGACAGTGTGTGATAAAATTAGTCCCACTTCCCCTTTGGTTTGTTTTTTCTGTCAGGGAACACGAAGTTCTTTCACTGCTAAGTTTCCACACTGTCAACAAACTGCAAATCAATATTCCATCTGCTCAGGTTTATTGCTCTGCTGTGCTGCCTTCAGCAAAATTTAGATTTTCTTCGAGTCGCCCCATTTGCGAAAAGCTACTGTCTCCTGTCACGCTTCCTTCTAGCGAAAAGCAAAACAACAAGCAACGAGAAATTCATAAACTGAGAACTTACTATTCCGGATTCATTGCAGCCATTCTTTCTACTAAAAATGTGGTCGTGAAAACCCTGAAGAAGACAAATGATTGTTGTTTTGACGACTGCTTTTTTCAAAACAATTCACGAGCTCAGAGTAATGCGAATGCAAGAGAAACTGATGACTGAGGAAAGAGAAGCAGAACTACAGAGGACTGATACTTCATTACATCAACAAAACCCTAACAGACTGAGATAAATTAAGCCAGTTAAGATGAAGACTCGCCAAACCGTGTTCTCTGTTCTTCATTTTGCTAGCAAACCCTCTCATTCTATCAAGAATATAAAAATGGACCAGCTGAGCATGATATGCCTGGTAGTATTCTACTGAAGAACATTTTACGGTCTACTTTTATTACAAAGACACATGCACTTCAACAACCGCGAAATTGGCTGAAATCAAAGATCGCAATCAATAAGGATTAAGCATTGCGAAATCATCTGCATCACCAACAAGATAAGGTGTTGAGAAAAAAGCCTAGGAACCCAATTCTGGCATAATATGGTGATGAAAGACGATAGACATCTCACAAAGCAGTGATGACACGACTCGGCTCGCTAATCGATATCGGTCATGCCCCAGTCACGACGAGCGCAGATTCCACGTGAATCTACAGTAGCCCACATCGTGCGGACGGTCCCGAAAGGAAGAGGTCGGGCGCTAGTCTTCGAGTTATCGCCTCTTTAGGTTCTGCACATATTCAGAAACTGGTAGTGATATGAAAGCTGGATGAGCGGAGGATCGAAATGGACGAATGACTAAATAGCAGCGCAGAATGTGGCGCAGCATGCGTCATCACCGCGTCCTTTAATATAGGAGAAGAACCGCGTCGCGCGGAGGTTTCGGCGCGGCTGACGATGTTTGCGATTTTGGCATCTCGTCAATTCGGCGTAGAACCTTCCCAATAGATCTTCCCTCTTTTCATGTACGGCTTCTTTGTGCAACCATCTGAGTGCGGGTGTGCCCAACTTTTGAATTGTGACGCATTTTCTTTTCTTGAAGTCAAAATCCCGTCTTGGATCATGTGCTCCATTGTAATCGCTCATTTTTCTGCCTTGTTTATTGGCTTTTTGAATGAACTCTGCTCGAACTGTTCAGCACTGTGAAAAGGCAGTTTAGTTGGCTATTATTGACAGAGGGCTTAAGGTGCTATTCTCATCTAATTGTAAGGCTGAAGGGGAAAGGTGGATGCAGCACTAAATTAAGGGGGCGCTCATGTCCTTGGGGGGGGGGTCTCTAAAATCAGTGAGGCAGGGAGGAAAGAGTATGTGAACAATATGTGCTTTCCCTGACGTTTTGACGCTTTTGCTGGGCTTAGGTCTTAGCTCATCACTTACCAACGGCCCTGTTTTGAATCCCCCTCTCCCAAGGATGTGCGCCGTAATGGGAAAGAAAGCATCATGTACGTCTTGAATGGCATGAACCTTCGCATGATTTGTGGTCACTGTTGTAACCGTTGTACAATATTACGAGGATGCGCCATCATCAAGCTCGCATCGCGAATGGTTGACCGTTTGTAATCATTTCGTTTGTACACCGCGATATATACAATGTTGCAGGTCAGGCTTTCATCATCGTAAACGGAATCGGCATGAATTTCTAGTCATCCCCAGAGAAAATGGGCATTGTGAAATACCTGTCTTCCAAATAGAGCAGTCCTAGTGTTGGTACAAAAATTCTACGATCTCTCTTCCTTCCACGTGAGTCATAGGCCCCTCACCAACACCGTCAGCATTGTGGTCGGGTGTAAATATCTTTCAAATAATACGCAAATCCTCTAATTTTCTGTCTTCTACGGTTCTTTCATGAGTGTTCGTCGAAAACTTGTAGAAACGACTCCCTCCCTGATCTTCCCCAATACGACCGCCTTTTCGACATTTTGCCTTCCGCCCAACAGCCGAAAATAAGACTCTCGCTCTCAAAATCGCAAAATATGACCCCGTTAAAATATGTACCAACGCACAGTGAAACCCTGAATCCAAATAGTTCTAGTAGTAGGATTCTGATACTGCACGTTTAGCTTCGGTCCATGCTGCTATGCCGTCCATCTTATATAGCGCATACTGTGAATTGGTTTTCCAGTGTTCATGTGGGGGACATGGCTCGAAGCTGGGACATTGGCTTCGAAGGAAGACTGGCAGTAGCAGTTTTCCTTCGAGCCAAGCTACTTGTTTTTGGAATCTTTACTACGAGACTGCTTGGCAGTCTTATCAGCCGTGCTGCGCCATTGAACGGTAATACGGTGTCCTCACGTCGAATACAGCACAGGAAACAGTCATAGGGCCTCCTTATTGCCAAGTTTTTAGCAGGCAAGATCGATACGGAGTCTCCTCGTGTTTCTAGTCTTGATGGTCCATCTCTTACGATGAACGGAGGCGTTGATGAACTTGATGTGGTAGGTGTGCTTGTCGCCGTAGGGCCCGTTGAAAAGATCTTCGAGTTGGACGGAGTGTCGCTGTTGCCAGCAGGAAATGAAGTCATTCCGTTTTTCTTTCAAAATAAGGCTTTTCTTGTTTTTGCTGGCAAAGCGAATCTAGCACGTTGAGCCGAGGTAGTATCAGACAGTTTGTGGTCCTCCAAATCCTTTTTCTACCGGAATCGCTTGGTGGGAGAACTACCATCGAAAGCGTCTATGGAAGCTCAAATAAAGATCCAGGAGATCATAGAGTCAAGAACAGATCTGTGTTAGAGGAGTTAGTAGTTTCATTCTTCATTCGGGACCGCGCCCAACTGTAGGAAGTGAAGATACTGGACAAATATCTTCTACAGATTCAATTTCTTAGAGAACTTGTGGTTTAGCTTAGAACCGAAAGGTTGAAGGGGTGGTGGAAATATTGATAATGTAATGTCATACTTTGTGATCGTGCGAGGGAGAAGAGGAGGGGATGGAGGGATGAATAGGTCCTTGCTCAATCCCTCTTATCTATCTAACACCTAGAAGAAGTCCAATATACAGCTCTGAAGCTCTGTTTCATTTACGGGCTATGCTTTTTCCCATTTTCCAAGATTGAGTTTAGTCGAGTTCTATACACGTTTTTTTTTTTGTTGGTTGCTTATTGTGATTCGAGTTACCTAGCTCTTCCGAAGTTTGTTCTTTTGTGCTGAAGCTCAGGTTCATATGTGCTGAACCTATTTCGTTCTAGCACCCCATTAGTCGCTCTTCAATTTTTGCACGTCACATGAAAAAATGAAACGCACCCCTTGTACCTTTACTCTACCAAAGACTAGGAGCGTCACCATTCGAATAATCGAAAATTCATGTATTGTTTTGAAACTTCTCATCCTTCAATCACGCTCATGTGAAGTTGTTTCTCCTATTATTTATAGAGTATGCGTGCGTATCGACGTCGTTTTGTGCGGTAGTGATGCGATTGTGTAGACTTTGCAAAATTCAGCTGGAGCGTTGAATTTGATGGGCGGAGGTTCGTCCTCTCTTCGAGTGAAGAGTCGCTCGTCGGCTGATTTGGATAGGCTCAAGCCGACAGCCGAGCAGCGTACGCCCCAAAACGAGGAGCCGATTAGCTTCGTTAGCGCAGTCTTCATCGAAGCACTTATCGCAAAGTTGCCTTTCAAGGTGTTTTGTCATATTTATATTTACATTGGATTATTTCGATTTTTTTTGTTTGAACTTAGTTTCGAGTCTTTGAACTCCTGACCTTTTTTTCTTACAAAGCGGGAGGATATTGAGTCGTGAAGTGGATGCTTTTAGATGACAGCTTAATTTTTTGAGTTACATACTAGGTAGGGTGAAGCTGATATCCTGCATAGTACGAATCCCTTCCTCTTAGAATGTATTCTTGGCAACAGAACATTCTTACGCTAATATTTAGCTTTTCTCTATTTTATCTCATTGGTTTCCTGCCTGGTCGTTCTTCCACACTTTGTCGAAGAATTCTGGCCTCACACTTCGTCGGAAGAAATTTGCATCCGTGGAAGTAAAACACGAATTCAGCTAATCACGCATTTCATTGTTGTTGTCAAACGAATCACCACGAAGCGCTTGGTACAGTAACAGAAACAGCTGAAAGTCTGAGGGTGTTTCTTTAGGGTAATAAGAAAGATGGGGAAGTTTTGAAATGACCATTTCGGCGGAGCAGGGAGCGATCGAGTGCTGTCGTTACTGGAAGTAGGCGCTTTACTTCACACTGTTCATTTCGAGTACAGTGCAATTGTTTCTTGGCTGCACCCAACCTAACTCCTTGTTTGTAAAGGAGTTACTCAAGTATTCAACAAAAAAGGGCCGCAAGTTTCTCTCTCTTTTGAAATGCAGCTGGCCATCCAATGTGAATTCGTCACTGAGAATGAAGTTGCTGTTTTTGAGCCTCTCATTCCCGTGAAAAGAATTCTTTAAGCATCTCTACCCCATATATTTCTAGCCAAACAGGCTGCATTTGTGCCTCGATTGTGTTGTGAAAGACGAAGGTGTCGCATATGTTTGTTTTCGTCAACTGACAGCGCCATTCATGATAGGTAAATGTGATACGTCGCAAGGCATCTACATAGTAGTGTTGCCAGGGCTCAGCGGTGGGAGAATCTACCAAAGTTAGTAAATATTTTGTGTTATCTTATGGGAAATTGAGGAAGAAACTGCACGAGTCTGCCTGACGACCCAGTAATGAGAGGGTTGACACAGGCCAACTGTGATTCGGTAATATTATTATGTCAGAAGGGAAATTCTATAGAAAAGCTGAAGATTCGAAAACAGATTACCTTTAGCCACCTTTCAAACTTCTTCACTTTTTTTTCAAAAAAAAAATCGAAATACCTCACCACCAAAAAAATGCTGCCATCCAGGCCAGACCACACCACCATTTTGGTCACAATCTTACCATACATATTCGTATCTTGCTCAATGCCTACCCCCATCTTTTTATTCACAACATACAATTCTTCTCGTTCAGCGCAAAGGAGGCAATCGAGATAAAGTGAAATCGTTTCGAGATCTGATATCCACATGGCCGATTCACGATGTGGAAGCTTTGTACAGGGTTGGTGATTTTTTTGGTCCTTTTATTAGAGGAATAATTAGCTCACAGTCAGTTGACCACATTCATGCGGGTCATTTCCTTTGGTTCTATGTGTTCTGTATTGGTGTCGTTGGTGGGTAGAGTAGGGGAGAGATGTGGGTAGGAGAACCGTCCTGCACCATTCAGACGAGGGTGGCATTTATGATTTCGATAAATGGGGTGGGGGCCACATTTGAAGTTGAGTAAGGCCAACTAACGGGAACGAGCGGGTCGAACTGAGGTCGTATTTTTCAGAATTTCAAGGGGTTCTGGTCGTGGGAAAGGGGATGTTTTGGCGAGGGTTCTGGCGATTTTTGCGAAAGTTGCATGTAAGTAGCGTGAAATAAACTGAATTGGCGGATTAGCCGCTTCATTATACCAATTTCGAAGGTGGCGGTCGAGTGGGGGAAGGGAGTCGTATTGGAGGGGTCTCCTGAGACTGATGGTTGTGGTAAAGGGGTCGCATTCAGACTCTCAAAGGGAGCCGCATCGAGATTCTCAAAGGGAGGGTCGCATATCTTCGGAAATTGCGAACGTGACGGTTGACCCCGGTTGTGAGGCGCTCTTGTGTTGGACAACTGCAGTTTTGATTTTAATATATGTTTTACATATCTTCGTGTAGGTAAATATTCGTTCCTAGGAATTGGAAACATCGCGAATACTCTCGCTTTTACATAATGCAGCTAATTCCGCAAGGCCGCCAGTGCCAAACATTGGTGAAGAACTTCATTCAAGCAAAAATAAGGACTTCGTTCTCAGAATTGGCGTAGGTGTCTTTCGAGTAATCAACATTTTTCAATTCGGATACAGCATAATTGTAGGGTAACTCTTATCTCCTTCATCGCCGCTTGGCTGTTGCTCGCTGTAGCGTTATAGCAGACTTTCTCGAAGGCAAAGAAGTCATGGAAATAGATCTTGCCATTCCTGATGGAAAAGCTTTCACATCTAAGGAGATCGGGTTAGTGATTCGTGAACTTTCATGTGCCTTTCTTTTCATTCTATTAACTTTTCCAATGTGTCTCACATTCCAAATTCCAGCATGTTTATCACTTATCTCTACACTGACGTATGGTCTGGCAGTGCAGAAATGTTGGAGTCTTTACGCAGTTGTCTCGGTTGCAACCAAGATTTGTTGACGAGTTTGCGGAATGCCGAGAAAATGGGTCTCGAAAATGGGGACTTGAATATTGTCCTCACTTCTGCAGCTTCAGTTGGCGACGAGCCGCCTAAAGGTTATATTGATTTGTTCACTGTATTTGTGAAAATCTCCTGGAATTCATAGGATTTTGATAAGCGTCCAAAAATACACCGTTTTTGGACAATGATTGACCGTCCTACAGTGTCGAATCACTATGTATGGTTATCTATTTAATTGGTTCTCGCCTTAGTTAAAGCCCAGCTTCTGTTAACTACTTGAAATTCATACTGAATCATGTCAATTTTAGCGCATCCCCCAGACTATAGCATCCGGTGCGACTCATCAATTGTGTCATCAAGAAGTACAGTCTTTCGTGGGCTTCTTAACCGCGTTGGTGAGCACGGCCGTATTGTTCTCGATGAAACATTACTCCCTCGTGGTTTCGCTCCAGTGGTCATGCATTTCCTCTACACGGATGAGTTGGATTTTTCAATGGTTCGTTGACTTTTTTTTTTGGGAATGGCTTAACTAGTTCTTTCTGTTACTTCTTGTGTCATGTATACCCTTGGGTATGTATCGGTTGGTAGGAGGGGAGGGCGCAGCTTGTTGCTGCGGCCTTTTTGCGTTTGGGTTGTACGAATGTGCTGCGCGTGACGTGCGGCCCATTTACCCACCTGGAAATGGCTCCAGTAAAACGATTCACACCCGTGCGTGATGGTAGACTATACTCATCTATCGCGAATCAACGTAATTCGATGAAATGGATTAAAGCTTCCATACTTTCAGATCCCTGACACGACTATCTCTCAGTCTTCGCTGTCGGAAGCACGAGCTATAGTTGCTGGTCGAAGTCCACACTCACCGCTTCACAGAGCCATACAGCTAATCCATATAGCTAAATTTTTTGCTCTGGAAAAGCTTGTTCAACGTGAGTTTGCGAAATCTCATGAGTTTCCGAAGCTGCCAGTGGCAGGTGGTCGAAGTTATTCTATTATACCACTTTGTTTTTGATTTGAGGATCATCTCCTAGAGATGCAGTACATAAAGTGAGAGTAATCCGGCCTGGCGTTAGTGAAATTCTCCCTAGACCGTCATTTCTCCTATGTCTCTCAACTTCTCTTTATCGGAGAGAAGCCGAACGCAAATACAGTTTGTCTGTTTCTGTACTCCAACGCGCGCGCTCTCATTTTTTTTTTTGTCAAAGTAGGGTGGTTCATCTCTCCAAGGTGGCCTAACTTATTCCAAGATGTCTTTGCAAAACTGCGTTCGGATGTGAACGTCGCTATTCACAATATTTCCTAAGGGTACTGAAGTCTAGCAGCAACTCGAGATTTGAATTTGCTGCAAAATCAACGTAAGACCTATTCACACATTTGGTAGTCTTCGGCTAAAATCACATTATGCGCCGTGCCTACTAATTTCAAGTGCCAACCAACTGTTGCCTGACTGTAGCCATCCTCTTGAGCAGACTAGGTTGTAGAGCTGTCGTAAAATGTCGAAAGACCCTGCAGATTCTTTTATGGAACATCAGTTCCTTTAAATGCAAGGCACATCTTATTATTAAGGCCGACGTTATTGCCCATATGAATCATTTTTGAGCGTTTTATTCCAACAGTGAAGCCTTTTTCGTACCACTGATTACTGACCGCTCCAGCCGCATCTGCGTCTCAATTAAATCCCGAAGCTGAACGTGTCAAAATTGTATGATTTTATTACATGCTGCAGCATCTTTGGTTGTTTGCTGTAAAGTGTCAGAAAATGCGTTGACCTTTTTTTCGTTCAGCACTGTTCCATGCGCACGAATCTTCCCATCTCAGTCGTCAGAAATGGCTGCCCAGTTGTGCATTCCTTGACCCAAGCGTGACTCTGAACTAGAGTCGCTGTGTTTTGATTTGACTAGACACCGGTTTTTTGCGATCATTCTGGTCCATACGTTACAATATGCTTTTTTCCTCTTAACTTTGCAGAACACTTGACTTCTCCCTCCCGCCTTTCTGTAGGAATTGGTGATGCGGGTTGAAGTCTATGTTTTCATTAATGGGACGGTTTTTCATCTTGGCAGAATTTGCCCGGCCTACAGTCACGTGTTTCGTCTTGAGAGATGTGAATCCAATGAATTTCAGTGTGCGAGGATGTTATTGTATCCTCTCTCTGTCCGGAAAGTTGTGTTTCCATTTGTACATGGGCTAATGACGGTGGATCTCCGTATGTGGCTCGATGCGCGCAAAGGTAAGTTAAAATTGCTTCATCTCATTTTGGCTGCTGTACGCCGATGTTTACTTATCACTGTCTGAATATCCTCGCACAGATACCTTTCCATTTCAAAAAACCAATGAAAGAAACCTACGGTCGTTTGGCAGATTATTCTCCACTAGACTTAATTCAATGGTAGA